AACGGGGTTAATTTTAATAAGATTCGGCCCAGTAAAACGGTTAAAGGGTAGAAGTAAATAAAATAGAGTTGGCGCTAAAAAGGGTCGTGTTGGAAATTGCTGACTTTGAGGTAGCTAGTTAATTGGGATTGGAATATTGGTTCGGTCAACAAGTCTTTATGATTTGTGATTGGAGATTTATTTGGTACGAAGCACGGAATGGACGGACAGGATGCGGAAGAACAATCTCTTCTAAACTGAAACACGAAAAAAGGTACTGAATTCATATCAACAAAAAACTAAGTCTATTTAAGTTAAAATGTAATTCTGTTTCTCAAATCCTAAATTAATTAATTACAAAAACGTCTTGCCTTGAAAACAACGACTGATTGGATCAATACAAAGCTATATTTTCTAGATTACAATCCTAAATTAATTACAAAAACGTCTTGTCTTAACACTAATAATATAGATAGAGATTTTCTATTTAAACCCCGCACTTCTCTTTGTTCACCCCAATACTTAAATTATTAAGCTGTAAGTTTTATTATTGTGTAAAAAGACAAAAAAGGTCATCCAACTTAATAATTAACCCTAGTACATCTATACACACACCCCACATCCCACCACTCTTCATATCAAGTTTTAAAAAAATACAAACTCCTCTACATCCTATTGCCACATTACTTTTCTCTTTTAAAGACATAGAAAATTGATGAGCCTACCTATTTAAATATGCGTGGGAGTTGATGGAAAGGCTTGTAGATTATCAACTCAACAATACCGAAGTGTTGGAATTCCAGTTACAGTTCTTGGAGAGAGGTAAAGTTGTTCTCTTTCTCTAGAAAGTATTAAATTTCGGGTTTAGGGTTCTATTTGTTTGTGTTTTTTTTGCTAAAAACAAAGAAAATTGTGGGGTTTAAATAGAAAATCTCTTTTATTTCTTATTTTTTCAGTTTGGGGTGCATTTAAGGTTTGTTTGGGAAGATAGTGGGATTTTCTTAGAAATTGTGAAAATTTAAATTAAGGGGTGAACTTAGAACATGGGGTGAATTAAGAGAAATGTGGGGTTTAAATAGAAAATCTCTATAGATAAACCATACACCATTTAATTTTTATAAACAAACCCAAAAAATAACAACTAGCCCTATTGAATTTAATTTTGATTGTTAAATTACTTTGATGCCCTATTGAGTGTTTGAGTTTTTTTTTATGAGGTTTTGGAGTTGAGTTTGTTTTAAAAAATCAATGGCAGTTTTGTTATTTAAAAGAAGTTAAAAGCCTTTTTGTTATGTTGTAAATGGACTTTGGGTGTGTTTTCAAAGTCCATTTCATATGGGGTTTTTTTTATTGGGCTCCTATATTTGGTATAATAGTGAATCTCCCTATTTTCTATCTAGTGATGGCTTTTTTTCTTCTTCTTATAATTATGTTTAAACTAGTATTTGTGGAAAGTGCTAATATTTTCAAAGAAAATTCAAAATGTCCTCCTCTTAAACAATGACTACAATTCTATACTTACCAATTTTCTCTCTCATCTCATTGCCTCATTACATTAGAGTGCTACTAAACGAACCCTAAAATTAACTGAGTACACCATATGATCTAAGTACACCCTAATACTTTAATGAAAATATAAAATTAACTAAGTACACCTTATTTAACTACCAAAAATACCTCTAATATACCTTAATACACTCTCCCGAAAGTTATGGAAGTGCAATGATCACATGCCTAATAGTAACAGGTTAGGATGGATATATTTTATTCTCTAAAAAAATTTCCACGTAGTTGTTGAACTACATAAATTGTTGTTTGAAACTAGTCATATTGATTCACCTTGTGTGTGTTGTTTTCGAATTATAACCATCCACTTTACCTGAATAAAAACTGGAAAAGAAAAATCAAATACTGTTATAAAGAAGGGCTACAACAATGTTGAAAACTCATCTCTTTCATTGGAAAAATGCTCACCATTTATCTATTGGAGACAAAAATTTTATCCATTGCCCAACCAATGCCTCAGCCTTCTTACTAATTTCCCACATAATTCATACAGAAGTGTTTATTAATTATGCAATACAATTTCAAATGCATTGGACGGGAGAGCTTATTCTTACTTTCAGGCTGCAAGGGCCCTTCAGCTTTACTCTGGGGTGATTGGAATGCTCCACATTAAATGCTTCTATTAAAATTAACGACATCTCCTTGCGAGTGCTCGTTGCATTGTTCACCGTGGGCACCAAACAATACGAAAACTTCTCTACATTTGATTAGAGTTGAATATGGCGAGTAGGGTGTACTTATTAAAATTATATTTGTTTCACAATTTAATATATCATTTTATATTAGGGTAAGTTAGTAATTCAATAAATAGATTGGTAATATGGTGTACTCATTTAATTTTAGAGTTCATTTAGCAACACTCTTACATTATTAGGTCATATAATCTGATTCTTCAACGTAATAATGTAGTGTGATTATTAAGCATTTTATATCATCTTTTGTCTTGGCTTTAAATGTTTTCCTCTAATTCTCTTTTAAAAAATTCAATTATAAACAACCGATTAATATTAACTTTACCAAAATTGTAAGAAGAAATTGGAAAAATGTTTTTTCAATAATCAATTGAAGGAGGTGTCTTTGGGATTTGAACATGCGACCACTAATATGTAGGCAAATGTTCTTATCACTAAATTATATGGACCCGTTGATGAAATAGTGAAGCTCCAGAGAAAGAATCCAACTATTACTTTACTTGTCATAAATTGACAAGACCTTAAGCAGACTTATGAGATTAATTATGACATTTTGTTCAAATATGAATCCATACAAAGTGGTCGACCAGGTTCAATGCAGCCATAGCAGGAAGTCTCCCAATTGCCCTTATTCTCTTACAAAGTCCAAAACATTGAACCTTCACTGTCCAATACATATTCGAATTCCCACGTTATGCACGCATCATTTATGTACCTTTTTGTTTTGGTCAATGTAATTCTATTCAAATAAATTGAAAAGGATTACAATGGGGTGATGAACCACAAGCTAAAGATAAAACAGACCTCCCTGTTTATGTACCTTCTCAACCCAAAAGCACAAGACATCAAACAGCCATGGCTAAGGCTTTCTCTGAGTTTCAGCCACTGGACGAGACATCCCTCATAGACTACATAAAATCTGTACCCTCTCTCTGTTCCAAGCTCCACAACAACCTCAACGGCTTGGAAATCAAAGAAGTAGGAGATGGCAACCTCAACTTCGTCTTCATCGTCGTTGGTTCTTCTGGTTCTTTTGTCATCAAGCAGGCTCTTACATACGTGCGTTCCATAGGCGAGGCATGGCCAATGTCAAAAGACCGAGCCTATTTTGAAGCAGCGGCGTTGAAAAAACACGGTCATTTGTGTCCCGGCCACGTGCCTGAAGTTTATCATTTTGACCACACTATGTCGTTGATTGCAATGCGTTACTTGAAGCCTCCGCATATCATTCTGAGAAAAGGGTTGGTTGCTGGGATTGAGTACCCTCTGCTGGCGGACGACATGTCGGATTATATGTCGAAGACTCTGTTTTACACTTCACTCATTTACAATTCCACAACAGAGCACAAACAGGGTGTTGCTGAGTTTTGTGGGAATGTGGAGATGTGCAGGCTCACCGAGCAGGTCATTTTTTCTGATCCTTATAAAGTTTCTGAATATAATCGATGGACCTCTCCTTATCTTGATTCTGATGCTGCGGCTCTGAGGGAAGATGAGGCTCTGAAGATTGAGGTTGCTGAGTTGAAATCTCTCTTCTGTGAGAGAGCCCAAGCTCTGATACATGGAGATCTTCATACCAGTTCTGTAATGGTGACCCAAGAATCAACCCAAGTTATAGACTCTGAATTTTCATTTTATGGGCCAATGGGTTTTGATGTTGGTGCTTTTTTGGGCAACTTGATTTTGGCTTTTTTTGCACAAGATGGGCATGCGGATGAAGAGAATGATAGAGAAGCATACAAAGCTTGGATTTTGAGGACAATTGAGAACACTTGGAATCTTTTTCAGAACAAGTTTATAGCTCTGTGGGATCAGCACAAAGATGGTTCTGGTGAGGCCTATCTGCCTGCGATTTACAACAGCTCTGAGATTCAGCAGCTTGTGCAGAAGAAATTTATGCAAGATTTGTTTCATGACACCCTGGGATTTGGTGCTGCCAAGATGATAAGGAGAATTGTTGGAGTGGCGCATGTTGAGGATTTTGAGGCGATCAGTGATGCTAGCAAACGGGCGGGTTGCGAGCGAAGGGCTCTTCAGTTGGCAAAGCTGCTTCTCAAGGAGAGGCGAAAATTTCAGAACATTGCTCAAGTTGTTTCAGCCATTAAACAAGGCAAATAATAATGCATAGTGGTTCCTTAAACGAATTGCAGGTTATAAGTGTTCATGCTCCATTCAAGGTCCAGTGCTCGTTTCCATTCGAGGTCCTGTGTTCCTTTCCTCCTGCACCTAAGATCCTGTGTTCGTTTTCTCGCCCTGCAACAGATTCTGATATAAATTGCTGCCTCAGATTATCGTACAAGTCTGGTTTTTAATTTTCTTTAAATATTGATAAAAAATAATTGTAACAAATAAATTATTGTAAGATAAGGCCTTTTTGACAGGGCATCGAAAGTTTGTTTAATTTTCAATTATACCTATATTAGATAATAATAAGAAATGCATTTGATGCTATATTATAATTCTAAATTATTAATTTCTAAATTGTTAATGGTGGGAAATTGTTCATTAAAAATGTGCATTTAATGCTGACCTTAGTTTCTCAATTTTCACCCCCTATTTTCTCAAGTAAGAGACAACCATTTCCTATAATTTCCAAGCAATATGGTTATTAAAAAGGTGCATTTAATGCTGGACTTGATTTCCCATTTGTGCGTTTAAGAAATGGGCCCCATCTTACTGCACTGGGTTGTGGATATGAAGATTCCGACCAAATACAGAGTCGGCTTCAACTGATTTCAAGTACTAAAATACAGAGAGCAAGAATAGCAGCGAAATATCCATCATATAGACAAACGTCACCCAAGAAACATTGACAGAAGAGCGAGCATATAACCTGTTCAAAGTCACAGAAACCAATTCAAAAACGAAATCTTAAAATTAGGACTAAACTATGCGCACTCTTCCGTACACTCTAGATGAGAAACAGATATCTACTCGAGACAAAATTACACCAGCAAAACATGCCCCTGGCCTATTGTTAATATGCATCTCCAATTCGGCCTCGCCCCATGCCACGACGATCATCTCGTCCTCGATCCATGTACATAGGCCGGTTATAATCTTTTGGTGGTGGGCCACCCCTTAATGGGGACCGGCTTCTCTCTCTAACATCATGTGCCCATCGGCCACGGTGGGCTAGTGGTGGTGGTGGTGGTGAAGGAGGAGAGGGCAGTCGCCTTTCGAATGCTTTCCGTTCATTAAAGAAGCTATCCCTTCCGCGATCCCTATTACCCCAATCCATGGGCATTGGCCGATCGAACTTGGTTCTTCCTCTATGGTTGTCTGAGTAATCCAACCGATCTCTTCGCATTTGATGGTCAGGAAACCTGCCTTCATGCCTTGGAGGTGGCATCCCAGCGCCAAAATCTCTAGGGCCATCTCTAGCCCAGCCACGGGGTGGAGACCTATAGCCACCATTCAAGCTCCTTCCAAGTGGAGGATCAACTGGAGGACCAGGGAAGCGTCTAGGAGGACCACTGGGAGGTGGTGGGCCGGGATAACCTCTTCGAGGACTTCCCCCAGGTCCGTAGCGGAACTTGTTGCAGTTGTTGCAGTACTCTCGCCTTGCAAAGTTCAGGTTGCCACATCTGAGACACGTAAAGAATATAAGGATTGGAACGTGATGAATGCATATTTACAAGCATTAACTCAAATTGCAAAATGAAAGGAAATTTTTTCCAACCTAAGCCACAATCAGAAAACAGGACCTTGCACTTAAAAACAACTCGCATGATGCCACATACAGCTATTAAAATTCATAATTTGATCACTGTGATTAGTTCCTAGAAAACTTATTAAAATGCAAGAAATTACATGCAACTTGGATAAGCTCCACTTCTGTACTAAATAGAATTTTTTTTTTTTTTTGGCTGAGTTCTACTCAATAGATTTGAATTTTCATAAAATTCTTGAAACTTGTAACAAGATTTTGTAAGTCTACATGCATGTTTTCCTCTCCATTGTCCTTCCCTTTTCAAAATCCTGCCTTAAAAACTGAATCATGGGAATCAGAAACACGATGCAGTCATAGCACTGACAAGCTGCAATGAGGAAAACCTAAACAAAGAAGATAAAAGGGTGAAAATGTACTCACAAAGGATCTGGACAAATCCAGTCTCCAAGCCTTTGGCGCACATTTGGATTATTTCTACTCCCTTCACCTCTGAACGGCCCAGGGCCAGGCCCCGGCCCATCTAAACCTCTACTGAATGGTCTGCCAGCACCCCTTCCTCTAGCATAATGGGGTGAGTTGTCTCGATATCTACCAGAATCCCGTGCACTGCCAAACTCACGACCACGTGGGGGGCCACCTGAATGATCATACTCAGAACTGTATCGATGATCTGCATCCCTGCGGTGTACAGGAGAAGCAGAACCTGCACGCATTCTATATCCTGGAGAAGGTAGTGAATGGAAAAGATAAGTAACCACCAATTGCACAGAAAAACAGACAACGGGATTATAATGTCAGTAGCCGAGGGATTAGGAGTTGTGACCCTGAAACTTCCATATGATCATTTCAAAGTTTGTAAGGGCTGTTACCATCACTCAGGATCTCTTCATTGTGGTAGTTAAAAGAAACATCATATAAGTGTGGAAGAGAATAAGAAGTTCAGACAATAACTGCCCTTGTTACTTCTCAAACAACTGGCGCATAATACCAGTAAATACAGCAACAAGCATGTTTACTCAACCCCACAGTCCTCAACACATAGGGTAACTGCTCACCATCGAGAACAATCAAATTACACAGTTTTATATTTTCAAAAGCCACATCCATCTACCATATGAACCATTACAAGCTGGCCACATATTTTTAACCTACATATCTGAAAAACCCCATCAATCATGAATCAGGAGTAACCATACCATAACCTTGTACAGCATTCGCAGTGATAAGGAAGAAGATGCAGCCTACAGATAAAGAAGATGTATATGCACCTAATTGGTACTTGATACTAATCCAGCACAGATAACAATAATCCCAGTACAAATTAGTTCCAAGACCTTCAGTTGAAACATGACTGCAACAAGTAGCAGTGAAACCAATAGTGCACACCCACATGAAATGAACTGCCCAATAAGAACACCAACTGAACTTCAAGCCTCCAAATACTTCTACAATTTACCCACTCCCAATTTTTTCATTTCTTCAGAGACCATCTTCGCATCTTCTTATAAAAATTCAAAACCCCTGATTCTACTAAGATTCATAAACTTGCAACTGAACTGCGATGCATAACCATTCTGAACAGCATAGAGGGATGAAACAATTGATGCATGCTCAACCCGAATAGGTAATTCCCGTTAATTTGTTGAGACAAAGTGGGATTTAAAAGTAGAAAAGGGGATAGAAATTATCATCCAAAAGCTGAAGGGTTCTGCAGCCATTTTCTGTAGCAGTTAACCTCCCAGAAAATATAAAGACAGCAAAAACCTACAAAATACATGATAACCTAGAATTGAACATACTAAAAGAAGTTCCCGAACGTTCCTGCACTCTACGCCAAATTTAACAATGCTGAGAAGTATAAACTCATATTAGTGACTAAATAACCATCCACTAATCCTATAAAGGCATCTGAAGAAAAGAAAAAAGGAAAATGAAACATGAGACCGCAACAAAACCACCACTATCAAACACAATTCCCGACCACAAAGTAAAGAAGCACAAAACCAAGGAAACAAGAAAAGCTCAACATTACCCAGGAAACACATCTTCCTTAGTGTTACATAACCATATAGTAAATTCAGTACCCTTTAACAGAACTGAATTACGACCATCTTGCAATTGATAACCAAATTTTCCATCTTCCAGCAGCATCTCAAGTAAACCATCCTTACTGTTGGTTGCAATTCAAAATGACCAAAATGATACTGTTAGTGGTGTTAAGTTCCCCACAATGCTTGCACCACGTCATGTGCCCCGAAATTCTTAAGAATAAATCCCATTCAAACTTCCAGTTTTGATTGGCATTTCAATGAACTCTTATTTGATATGAACCCGATAATCTAATCATCAATCCCATAAAAATTCAGACAAATACCACAATCATAGGCAATATAACAAAATGAGGCCCAGCAACCGATATTCATTGATGCAGCAACCCACGAGTTCACACATCATATACGATTCCCATGAATCTCCCACAAACAAAAATACCCACAATATGAAAAAACAATTCCCCCAGACCATGATCCAAGACTGCACTCACACCAACATGCCTTCCTCAAGATTCAAGTTCTTGCAGGCACATTCAGAGCTGTAAGACACAATAGCAGAATTTATTCACAGTTTGACACTCTATAAGCGGTTACAGATCCACATGCTCGACATGCAGTGTAAACAAACAAAAGGTTCAAGAAACCCAGAAACCCATTTGTTGTATGACTATCACAAACTAATAGGGCAATATTCACCGTAGTCGCTTATAATAATCATAAATATGATCAAGCATATACTAAGCTTCAAAAATCAATTACTGATGTGAACTAAGTAGTTCTAACACAAAATTGATATAGTTCAAAATCTATGCTCATAGAAGCATCAAAAACAAATTCCATAACATGAACCTCTTTGTTTTACAAGTTGCACTTGAAACACACACCACAAATAAATGAATAATTATGATTATTGAATCTATAAGATAAAATGCTAAAATCCGACGATGAATCAAATTAAGTACAACAAAATAACAAAATGAAAAGAGAATGGCATATAACAAAACCAAAATAAGAACACACAAATTCATAAAGCACTAGAAATCAATCCAATTTGAGCATAAATCACCATAACAAATACAAATGGAAGCTGAGAATAGAGAGACGAACCAGGATCATCGTTGTAACGATCCGAACGAGTGTACTGAGGAGGCTCACGGCGAACCTCGCCGAGCTCGTAATCGCTGCCACGGCCACCTCCATCGCCACCGCCGTCGCTGGTGGAGGGCCGGACGACGAGGCTGCTCAGAAGAGGCTGATGATGCGATGTCGTTTGGTCCTTGTCCCTTGACCCCATCGTTCTGTGCGCTTCGCTGTTCGATAGCGATGAGTCGCAAGACAGAGGTGCGAGGGTATTGCAAGCCCTAGAAGTGGGTATGAGAACTTTGTTTGAAATTACGGAGAAGGGTGACACTATTCCTGGTTTGACGTAACGAGGATAGGGGTGTTTAAGGAATATGAATAGTAACGTATATGAGTTATCCGTATATTTATTTTTACAGTATGTATGTGTGCTGTTCCAAATTACAATAATTTAAAAGTATAGCCGGACGGCTATACCTTATAAATATAAATTTTAGCAGTATAGCCGCGCGGCTATACTCTTTAAATAGAATAGTTCGACAGCATCGCCGCTTGGCTATACTATTTAAATAGAATATTTCAAAAGTATTGCCCCGCGGCTATACACTTTAAAAGTATAAAATTAGTTTCTTAACTTTTGTTTTTAGGCAAACTTCTTTAATTTAATATATGTAATTAAGTAATATCTTAGTCTTTTTTTAATTACTTTAATTAATAATTATATTTTAATTATTGATTTTTCAATGAATATTTAATATTTTACTGATTTCGGAAATATATACATATATATATATATTTGACTAATTTCATAAATTACTTAACAAATAGTAATTAATTATTTTATATGAAATTGGTTTGGCTGAATCTAAGTCTCGAACCAAAGACCCTAACTTCCGAACTTGTTCTAAAATATTTATCAGGCCTCAAATCCTAACCATAAGCCGATTATGGGGCACTTATGACTCAATTAAGCTTGGATACTCATGTAACTCCACCTAGGGTTTTACGATTAGGGTTTCGATCTCAATATACAGTTAGTACGACATAACCGGACCTAACACTATACTTGAGTGTGCCTTGAGGTGGATATTAACAAGTTGAAGTATAGCCGCGTGGCTATACTCTAGCTTTTTTTAAAAAATTAATTACTATTTATCAAGTAATATAATTTATGAAGTTATTTAAAATATTTAATACTAATTATTCACTAAAGAAATAATAATTAAAACAAGTTTTATTAAATAATATCTTAACCTTATTTAATTACTTTCATTAGTAATTGCATTTTAATTATTATTTCATTAGTGAATATTTAAATTAATATTATTTTTGTGAATATTTAAATTATTATTATTTTTCTGAATATTTAAATTTTATTATATTTAAATTATTATTATTATTATGAATATTTAAATATGCTACCTTTTTCATAAATTATTCAATAAATAGTAATTAATTATTTTAAATTATTTTGTGCAATTTTCAAACCACAACAGTTATAAACCTAATTTCATTCGAATTTAAATTGAAAAGATATGTCAAAAAGGAAAAAAAAAAGATTACGTATTTTCGTTTGGGTGTCTTAATTAAATTTCTCCAAAGCCCAAGAGCCACAAGGTCCAAGTCTTTGATTAATATATGCATTCTATATCCTGAATAAACCTACCCCGGCCAAATTTTTGTATCCCAACGAGCTTTGACGGGATAGACCTGTCCCGGATAAATTTTGTTTGGAATCCGACAACAAACCACTTGTTAAAATCTACCTCAAGGCGCCCTCAACTAACTGGAGTTAGGTCCGGTTATGTCGTACTAACCGTATATTGAGATTGAAACCCTAATCAAGTCATAAATGCCCCATAGTAGGCTTATGTTTAGGATCCGAGGCTTGAGGAAGGTTTTGGAATGAGTTTGGAAGCTCGGATTTTTGGTTCGAGACTTGGATTTACCCAAACTAATTTTGTATACAATAAAATAAAAAACAAAGTCCACAAAATTATTTAAAATGATTAATTACTATTTATGAAGTAATTTATGAAATCTGTAAAATATTTAAATACTAATTATTCACTAAAAAATAATAATTACTAATTAAACTAATTCAAAAAGGTTAAGATATTACTTAATTACACATATTAAATTTAAGAAGTTGGCCAAAAAACAAAAGTAAAAAAATAATTATGTATATTTTTTTTTATATCAAAAATAAGCAAAAACACCTCTCCCGACGAAATTTCATTGGCAGAAGTCTAAGCCGGTAAATATTTGTTAGATTTGATCTCTCCGGACGAAATCTACATCTGCAGACTAAATTTCATCGGGAGAAGTCTAATCTGGTAAACATTCGTCGGCATAGACCTGTGTCGACAAAATTTCGTCGGGAGAGGTATTTTTTAAAATAAATATAAACTTATTATCTTTAAGTCAATAAATTATTATTTTTTTCATGTAGTAAATAATATCTTAGCCTTATTGAAAGTTGGGTTGGGGGGGGGTAAATTTTGACTTTTTTTTATAAATATAAAAACATTTTTTTATATTTTTAAAATATATAATTTGTTTCTTTGCTATACATTACAAATAAAATATTTTAAAAGTATAGCTGCCGAACTGTACTCTATAAATATAAATTTTCAAAGTATAGCTGAGGGGCGATACTTTATAAATAGAAATTTTAAAAGTGTAGTTGCGTGGCGATACTTTATAAATATAAATTTTAAAAGTATAGTCTGGTGGCTATACTATTTAAAAGTATAAAATTGGTTTCTTTACTTTTGTGTTTTAGCCAACTTCTTTAATTTAATATATGTAATTAAGTAATATCTTAGTATTTTTTAATTACTTTAATTAGGAATTATATTTGAATTATTGTTTTTTTAGTAAATATTTAAATATTTTACTGATTTCATAAATTACTTAATAAATAATAAATATTTATTTTATACAAAATTAGTTTGGCTGAATCCAAGTCTCGAACCAAAGACCCTAACTTCCAAACTTGTTCCAAAATATTTCTCAGGCCTCGGCCCTGGCCATAAGCTTACTTTGGGGCACTTATGACTCGATTAAGCTTGGATACTCACGTAACTCCGCCTAGGGTTTTACGATTAGGGTTTTGATCTCAATATATGGTTAGATGACATAACCAGACCTAGCACTATACTTGAGTGTGCCTTGACTTAGACTTTAACAAGTTGAAGTATAGTTGCGCGACTATACTCTATAATTAAAAAAAAAGTAATTACTATTTATCAAGTAATATAATTTATGAAGTTATTTAGAATATTTAATACTAATTATTCACTACATAAATAATAGTTTAAATATAATTAAAAATGAAAGTAATTAAATAAGGTTAAGATATTATTTAATTACTAAAAACACAATTTAAAATAAAAATTTACTGACTTAAAGATACTAAGTTTAAATATATATATTTTTTAAACACATATCCCGACAAATTTTGTCAGCACAAATCTATCCCAGTGAAATTTGCCGGCTTAGACCTCTCCCGACAATAGTTCATCGGCACAGGTTCATTTTGTCGGGAGAGGTCTAATCCGACAAATATTTGCCGGCATAGACCTTTACTGACGAAATTTCATATGGACATAATTTATTGTTTAAAAAAAATATAAAATTAGTTTCTTTGCTATACATTACAAATAGAATATTTTAAAAGTACAGTTGGCGGCCATACGCTATAAATAGAAATTTTAAAAGTATAGGCGCGCGGCTATATATTACAAATAGAATATTTTAATAGTCTAGCCGCGAGGCTATACTCTATAAATAGAAAGTTGAAACGTATAGCCGCGCGACTATACCATTTAAATAGAATTTTTTAAACAGTATAGCCGCACGGCGAGACTCTATAAATAGAAATTTTTAAAAACACAGCCGCGCTGCTGCACGCTTTAAATAGAATTGTTTAACTGTATAGGCGCACGACTATACGCTTTAAATACAATAATTTTAGAATATAGCCGTACGGCTATACTCTATAAATATAATATTTTAAACGTATAGCCGCTCGGCTGTACTATTTAAATAGAATATTTTACAATATAATTTCAAATAATTAGTTACAATTTATTGAGTAATTGATGCAATTAATTAAAATATTTAAATACTAATAAAATAATAATAATTAAAACATATTTAATTACATACTAGCCCCTTGCCACATGCTCACGCGTGCACCAATTGGTTTTCTTTTTTTAGTTTTTAGAATTAAGAAAATAAAAAATAGGTAGTTATTTTCCGTACAAGTAGGATCTATTATCTGATTTTGTTTTTAATTTTAATTTTTTTAATTGTGAATTTACCATATTATCCTCATTTAATTAAGAATTTCAATTCTTAATATTTAAATTAACCAAGGGCATTTTCTGGTATTTTGAATGTTTCACCATTCTCTGCCTTTTGCTCTATATATAGATGATTTTGTCTAAGGCATGAAATGATTTTTATTTTTATTTATTTAAAAAGAAGTTGTTTACGGATTTTCTTGAGGTGGGTTTTGGCCCAATTATTATTTATCCATAAGATCCAATTAATCTAAAGATCGCCTCTATTAGAGCAAGTCCACCCATGAAGGCTAAGGCAAGGCAAAGGCAAGGCAAGGGCTGCCACTATTCACGTGAATAGTGGCAGCCTTGCCTTAGTTGGTTCCACCCTTGGAAGGCTAGGGCAAGGGCAAGGAAAAAAAAAAGATTATGCAACAAAATATAAACAATTTAGAAAGTGAATAAAATTGTTATGTATTTATAGGGAAAACATCCATAATATTTTGGTTTTTTTTTATAAAAAAAAAAAATTGAATTTTTTTGGATTTTTCTGAATTTTTTTTGCTCGCTGATGTCAGCGTGACATCAACGCTGACGTCAGCGCCTTCGGGCTTGAGCCCAGGCAAGATTTGGCCGTGGGCTTGCCCAGGCTGGTGGGTCCCATGCCTTGCCCGGGCTTGTTCTCTACAGCTGGAGTCGAATTGGGCTTGCCCGAGCAGCCTTTTGCCCGGTTTTGCACCAACGCTGGACTTGCTCTTAAAAGCAATGAAAAAGAGTCACAGCCTAGCCCAATTATTCACGACAGGGAGGGACTCTCACATCCCATTTTCAAATAAATTGCTTCATGTGATCGCTTGTCCTTACCATGCAAGTCACTGAACCTAGTACACGCGTCGTCATAGCGGGCCCACCCATAATATAATCCCACAAATGTGGTCCCAGCAATAACTTTTCAATTGTTATTCTAAGCCCTCCTTGCAATTTAACCAAACTTCAAGGACTAAACACAAAAACTCAAGTCTC